CTCAAGTGATCCGCCCACCTCAGCCTCCCAAAGTGCTGGGATTACAGGTGTAAATTACTCACTATTATCATTATTGTTTTATAAAGGCATTTGCTTTTCTTTACTCATATATTTGTCAACCTACTTACTCACTATTCTTTCTTGCCTTTCTTTTCTTCCCTTTGGGTTGAATATCCTTCTAAAATGCACATTCTTTAGATGTTCCTTCAGTGAAGGTCTGTTAGTGAACAATTTTCATTGAATTTTTTAGACCTCATTCTTGAATGATAGTTTAGCCAGGTATAAAATTCTAGACTGACAGTTTTTTCTTTACTTTTTGGCTTCTATTGTTGCTACTCAGAAATCTGCTCTTAAAATTAATTATAGTTCTCTTACAGGTAATTTGTCTTTTCATTCTTATTGCCTTATATTTTTCTTTGTCTTTGGTATTCTGATATGTATGCTATATGATATACATGAATATGGAATGTGTTTTTAAAAATTCTACTTGGGGCTGGGCGTGGTGGCTCATGCCTATAGTCCCAGCACTTTGGGAGGCCAAGGTGGGCATATCACTTGAGGCCAGGAGTTCAAGCCCAGCCTGGCCAACATGGCAAAATCCCTTTTCTACTAAAAATACAAAAATTAGCTGGGCATGGTGGTGCATACCTGTAGTCCGAGCTATGTCAGGAAGCTGAGGCTGGAGAATCTCTTGAACCTGGGAACTCTGTTTCAAAAAAAAAAAAAAAAAAATTCTGCTTGGTGTTCCCTGTGATTTCCAAATCTGAATAGTCTTATTTTTCATGGATCCTGAATAATTCTTTTTTTGTTGTTGAGGCAGGGGCTCATCCTGTTGCCCAGGCTATAGTGAAATGGCACGATCATGGCTCACTGAAGCCTTGACCTCCCTGGGCACAAGTGATCCTCCCACCTCAGCCTCCCAAGTAGCTGAGACAATAGGCATGCACCACCATGCTCAGCTAATTTTTGTATTTTTTTGTAGAGATGGGGTTTTTTCATGTTGCCCCGGCTGGATGGATAATTCTTTACTACCACCTCTTTTACTATTGCCCACCACCAATTTTCTCTGTTTATCCACTCTAACACTCCACTGAGATATAAACATTTTTACTCAATCCTTCATGTCTCTTCTCTTCCTTATTTTCCATCACTTCATCTCCTTGTTCTGCATTGTGAGAAATTTCTTCAGATCTACATTCTCTTTTTTGAGACAGAGTTTCACTCTTATCACCCAGGTTGCCGTGCAGTGGTGCGATCTCAGCTCGCTGCAACCTTTGCCTCCTGGGTTCAAGCGATTCTCCTGCCTCAGCCTCCTGAGTAGATGGCATTACAGGTGTCCACCACCATGCTCAGCTAATTTTTGTATTTTTAGTAGAGACAGGGTTTCACCATGTTAGCCAGCCTAGTCTCGAACTCCTGACCTCAGGTGATCCACCCACCTAAAGTGCTGGGATTACAGGCGTGAGCCAACATGCCCAGCCCCAGATCTGCTTTCTAAATCAATGCTTTTCAGTTGTTCTGTTTTGCTCTTTAACTCATCCCTTAAGGATTTCTTTTTTCAATGATTTTATTTTTCACTTCCAGAAATTCTACTTGAATCTTTTTCAGATCTACCCAGAAACAATCTCTCAATCTGTAGTCATGTTTTTAATTCTTGTTTTTATATCAGACATATTTTTATAAGGTATACCCAAGAATTATACGAAGTTCTTGAAAGTGTAATTCTACTGTCTGACATTTCTGCTGACTCTTGCTCATGTTTCCTTGCGCATTTTGTACTGTGAACTCAAATTTCACGGGCCTTTGTATGTGGTACTCCTGTACAACCTGTTTATAAAGTGAATCCCTCCAAATAAATGTTTAGTTTGCTTTCTAATAATGTCTAATAATAAACCATACAATATTTAGGTTCCTGAGGGTTTTTTCTTCAATATTTAGGACATATACTAAAAAGTTACTTCTTATTGACATTCAAATTTTATTATTATTATTATCATTATTATTATTATCATTATTATTATTATTATTATTTGAGACAGAGTCTCGCTCTGTTACCCAGGTTGGAGTGCAATGGCACAATCTTGACTTACTGCAACCTCTGCCTCCTGGGTTCAAGCAATTCTCCTGTCTTAGCCTCCCAAGTAGCTGAGACTACAGGCACCTGCCATCACGCCCAGCTAATTTTTTGTATTTTTAGTAAAGATGGGGGTTTCACCATGTTAACCAGGATGTTCTCAATCTCCTGACCTCATGATCCACCCACGTCGGCCTCCCCAAGTGTTGGGATTACAAGCGTGAGTCACCGTGCCCGGTCAACATTCAAATTTAACTGGACTCCTACATTTTATCTAGTAGAAAATGTTTTGGCCAGGCACAGTGGCTCACACCTGTAATTCCAGCACTTAGGAGGCTGAGGTGGGTGGATCACCTCAGATCAGGAGTTTGAGACCAGCCTGGTCAATATGGCGAAACCCGGTCTCTACTAAAAATACAGAAATTAGCCGGGTGTGATGGGCACTTGTAGTTCTAACTACTTGGGAGGCTAAGGCAGAAGAATCGCTTGTACCTGGGAGGCAGAGGTTGTAGTGAGCAGAGATCACACCACTGCACTCCAGCCTGGGTGACAGAGCAAGACTTCATCTCAAAAATAAATAAATAAATAAATAATTTTTTAAAAATTGTTTAATCTTCTGTAGTTTCTCTTCGCATCACTTGATGTGAAGCCAAATTCATATCTCCTATCCCCAAATGGTTGCTAAAACTTCAGTACTTTACTTGCCAAAATTGGCAAATTAGCAAAACAAAACAAAATGTAAAACAAACAAAAAAAGCCTCAACCTTATCACTCTAGATTCCATTTCTTCTTGGTTTTGATTTCCTCTTGCTTTTGACCTTTTGGGATTTCCCTTGCTTCAGAAGGAAGTCTTAGGATTAGTCTTTTGGAAAATGGAAGGCCAAAAATCTTACAGGTCACTTCTGCTTGTTGCATTCCCACATACCTCCCCTGAGGCCACCAGGACAGATTTGGCTGCCTGCTTGGTTGGAGAAAGGGCAAAATACAGGGAAACAAAATAGAAACTGATTTTCCAACATAGAATCCATCCACACAGGTAGCAGTCTTGGCTACAGTCAGTTATCAGGTGAGGTCATTCTTGTGCTTACTGAAAAAGATTATTTTCTTCTTCTCATTGTACTGCAGCAAAGCCTTCTAGACAAGCTCAGTGGAATCTGAAGGGCCCATCCCATGGAGGAATGCTGGGTGACAGAGATAGCCAATGGCTCCAAGAATGGCTTGGATTTCAACCCTATGAAGGATTACATGATCCTGAGTGGTCCCCAGAAAATAGCTGTTGCCGTGTTGTGCACTCTTCTGGGCCTGCTAAGTGCCCTGGAGAACGTGACTGTACTCTGTCTGATCCTGTCCTCCCACCGGCTCCGCCAGAAGCCCTCATACCTGTTCATTGGCAGCTTGGCTGGAGCCGACTTCCTGGCCAGTGTGGTCTTTGCATGCAGCTTTGTGAATTTTCATGTTTTCCATGGTATGGATTCCAAGGCTGTCTTCCTGCTGAAGATTGGCAGCGTGACCATGACCTTCACAGCCTCTGTGGGTAGCCTGCTGCTGACCGCCATTGACCGATACCTCTGCCTGCGCTACCCACCCTCCTACAAAGCTCTGCTCACCCGCGGGAGGGCACTGGTGACCCTGGGCATCATGTGGGTCCTCTCAGCACTGGTCTCCTACCTGCCGCTCATGGGATGGACTTGCTGTCCCAGGCCCTGCTCGGAGCTTTTCCCACTGATCCCCAATGACTACCTGCTGGGCTGGCTCCTGTTCATCGCCTTCCTCTTTTCCGGAATCATCTACACCTATGGGCATGTTCTCTGGAAAGCCCATCAGCATGTAGCCAGTTTGTCTGGGCACCAGGACAGGCAGATGCCAGGAATGGCCCGAATGAGGCTGGACGTGAGGTTGGCCAAGACCCTGGGGCTGGTGCTGGCTGTGCTCCTCATCTGTTGGTTCCCAGTGCTGGCCCTCATGGTCCACAGCCTGGCCACTACACTCAGCGACCAGGTCAAGAAGGCCTTTGCCTTCTGCTCCATGCTGTGCCTCGTCAACTCCATGGTCAACCCTGTCATCTATGCTCTGCGGAGTGGGGAGATCCGCTCCTCTGCCCATCACTGCCTGGCTCGCTGGAGGAAGTGTGTGAGGGGCCTTGGGTCAGAGGCAAAAGAAGAAGCCCCGAGGTCCTCAGTCACCGAGACAGAGGCTGATGGGAAAATCACTCCGTGGCCAGATTCCAGAGATCTAGACCACTCCAGTTGCTGATGAGGCCTCTTCCCAATTTAAACAACTCAAGTCAGAAATCAATTCACTCCCTGGAGGAGAGAGAGGGGTCTTGGCACTCTCTTCTTACTTGAACCAGCCCCAGACACCTAGACACGGACCCGTTTTTGCTGATGAGTATTGGAACTGACTCCTGGAAGGCAGCCTGGCCTTGCCCACCTGCACACAGTCTGTTGGATAGGTAGGGCCCACGAGGAGTAGCCAGGTGGGCGAGATGCGAAGGGCCTGGGACAGGCTCAGTACAAGTCAAGTCAGGCTTTGTGCCTGCATCCTCCAGAGACCACAGGAGCCAGAGGGAGCCTCCAGGCCCAGCAAAGAGGGACTTGGGAGAAATCTGAGAAGAATGGGTTGTTCTCTTGGGAAGTCAGGGTATCAGATGGGATGGACATCCAGGTCTTCTCCCTGCCTAATTGTCAAGGCCTTCTTGGCTCTGGAGCTATGAAAGGCCCCAACTTTCAGGTCACCCTTGCCACTGAGGACCGAGAACTATGCTATGATAAGGATTAAGAGTGTTGACTTGCCTCTTTCAAAGATAAATGACAAGCCTTCAGTTTGGGGCATCCTGCTGTTTGGGCGAGGACCCTCTCTGATATTCTAATAATCCCCACCTGTAACCTCAGGTCCCTGGAAATACAGAGGAGGCTGGGATCGCTTGAGACACAAAAATCTTCAGAGAATTTTCTTGACCCTCTGAAGTCCTTCCAGCAGCAGTCCTGGTGGTGCTGCTGGAAACAGGCAATGTCCTGGTCTAACCTAACTCTAAAAAAAAGGAAGATATTCACAAAGATTGTATAAATCCCCAAACTGTACCCCCACCCGCCCCCAATTCAGCTCCCTTGCCTCCTCCACACCCCTATAACATATAATAAGCAGAGCAAGTGAGAGGAGGGGAAATGCCCTTCCTATATGCCAGGTATGGGGCTGACATTTCAGTCCATTAACCCCAGCTAGAATATAACTCCATGCTTTTATAGATCCTAGGGGCCAGGCGCGGTAGCTCACGCCTGTAATCCCAGCACTTCGGGAGGCCAAGGCGGGTGGATCACCTGAGGTCAGGAGTTTGAGACCAGTCTGACCAATATGGTGAAACCCTGTCTCTACTAAAAATACAAAAATTAGCCGGGCATGGTGGCAAGTGCCTGTAGTCCCAGCCACTCGGGAGGCTGAGACAGGAGAATTGCTTGAACCTGGGAGACGGAGGTTGCAGTGAGCCAAGATCGCACCACTGCACTCCAGCCTGGGCAACAGAGTGAGACTCTGTCTCAAAAAAATAAAATAAAATAGATCCCAGGATACCCACTTTTCATATTAGGGAGGCTGGGTTCCTCCCCAAGGAGTCTAAAACAGCCAACAAGAGAAATTGTTGGTGGCAGGAGGATTGCAGAGGAATTCTAATGCAATTATTTGGGACCACAGATGGAATACAATGAACGATATAGGTTAAACATGTCTTCGTTTAATACTTTCAAGACGAAATATCCACTAGCTATTCACTTATTTATTCATCTCATAAACATGAGCCAGGCTCTGTGCAGGGTCCTGAGTACCCAGCCATAAATGAGACTGTGCCCCTATCTCATGGGACTTACAGTCTATATCCTACTTGCAAGACAGTCAATAAGTCAATAAAGAAGATAATTGCAGGTGGTACAACAAAGGAAATATGCAGGGTCATGTAATAGGGATTAATTGAGTTAACTCAATTAATGGTAGGGTAGACCTACCATGTGCTCTGGTCATACAAGCCAGCTCACTTTATTGAGCCTTTACTATGTGCCAGGCAGGGGGCTAAGTGATTTTAAATGCCTTATTTCACTTTGTCTTTCCCAGTAACCTAATAAGAAGGTCTTAGTTATCTTCATTTTATAGATGTGGCAACCTCAAAGATGCAAAGTCACTTGCCTAAGGTCACCCTGCTAAGTGCCAGAGCTGAGGTCTCCAACCTAGTTCTGCTTGACTTCAAAACCTGCCCTCTTAACCACTAACCTTTTGGCCTAGTTCAGTCAAATTCTGCTTGATTATTGCTCATTAGGGATAATATTAGCTATCTGTAGCATCAGATTGCTGCAAAGTTAACTCATCGTAGAGTCTCAATATACTCCATTTATTAAATAGTCCTGTATTAATCTCCTGTAATAAATTTCTACAAATCCGGTGGCTTAACAACAGAAACTTACTCTCATAATTCTGGAGGCCAGAAGTCAAAATCAAGGTGTAGTAGGGCCCTGCTCCCTCCAAGAGTTTCAGGGGAGGATTATTCCTTGACTCTTTCAACTTCTGGTAGTCCCTGTCATTCCTTGGCTTGCGGAAACATCACTCCTACCTCTGCCTCTGTCTTCATATGGCCTTTCCTCTGTGTCTCTTGGTGTCTTTTTTTTTTTTTTTCCTTTGAGACTGAGTCTCATTCTGTTGCCTAGGCAGGAGTGCAGTGGCACGATCTTGGCTCACTGAAACCTCCGCCTCTCAGGTTCAAGTGATTCTCCTGCCTCAGCCTCCCAAGTAGCTGGGACTACAGGCACCTGCTACCATGCTTGGCTAATTTTTGTATTTTTAGTAGAGATGGGGTTTCACTGTCTTGCCCAGGCTGCTCTCGAACTCCTGACCTCAAGTGATCCGCCCACCTCAGCCTCCCAAAGTGCTGGGATTACAGACGTGAGCCACTGTACCCGGCCTGGTGTCTTTTTTAAAGAACACCAATCACTGGATTTTGGCCCAACCTAATCTAGTATGACTTCATCTTAATTTAACTAATTATATTTACAGAGACCCTGTTTCCAAACAAGGTCACATTCACGGATTCCAGGTGGACAAGAAGTTTAGGGGGACACTATGCAACTCAGTACAGACCCAGGAACAAAGTCCACCCTCTGGGCTGTGTTGAGTGGCAGTCACTAGTTTATCCTACCCCCACGAGATGAGCTCCAGGTTTACCTCTGCATCCCCAGTGCTCAGTCAGGACCCAGCAGTGCATCTGAAGGGATCTGGTCAATATCTGTGAAACTGAACTGTTTCTGAAAAGCTCTGATGTATGTCTGGGAAAATCAAATCTTATTTTAACCCAGACACCAATCTTTTTGAAAGGCAAAGAAGTAGCATAAATGTTTAAAGGGGAATTTGCACGTTTATATATTGTCATTCCTTAAGTTGAAGCATGCCTTTCTTTATTCATCGGTGGAATCCTTTCTCATTTTGGCAAAGAAAATGCCCAAGTGCCTGGCACAAACAAGCACTGAGTAAATACTTCTTGAATGGATAAAACTAGATTCTAAAAATCATTTAATTAAATGCACCTCCACACTTTCCACTTCTTTCCTTTCACGGCGACACTGTATTTCTGCTTTTTTGGGGGGATGGGGGACAAAGTCTCACTCTGTCACCCAGGTTGGAGTGCAGTGGCATGCAATCTTGGCTCACTGCAACCTCCGCCTCCCAGGTTCAAGCAATTCTCTTGCCTCAGCCTCCCAAGTAGCTGGGATTACAGGCACCTGCCACCATGCCCAGCTAATTTTTGTATTTTTAGTAGAGACAGAATTTCACCATATTGGCCAGGCTGGTCTTGAACTCCTGACTTCAAGTGATCCACCCACCTTGGCCTCTCAAAGTGCTAGGATTACAGGTGTAAGCCACCACTCCCAGCCTCTATGTCTGCTTTAAGTAGAGAAGCAGAGCTTATGAGGGAGGAGAACAAGGGTGCAAAAGGGACCTAGATGTCACTAAGAACTGCCCTTGTTGTTTGGTTGAGGAAATGGGCCCAGACAGTGGACAAGACTTGCTCAAGGAGACAAATGAGATGGTGTCCAGTGCAACAAACCCAGGTTTCCTAACTTCTAGTTTTGTTCACTCTACATCGATGCCTCTCATCTGTCCCTGCAAGTGCACGTTTTGGTTATGTGGATAAGGAGAAATAAATGAAGATCACAGTGTCCCATTTTATCTTCCCCAAGACAAGCTCTATAACATCAAAGACCACTATGCAAACCGATTACTAGAAAATGTGTGTGGATGGGTTTGGTTTTTTCCTAAGGTGTTCATGCTTACTGTTTTGGGCAATATTTCAAAATAATCTGGCAGAGGAAGAAACAGAAGATAAAATAGCTGTGGGCCGGGTGCAGTGGCTCACGCCTGTAATCCCAGCACTTTGGGAGGCCAAGGCTGGAGGATTGCTTGAGGTCAGGAGTTCGAGACGAGCCTGGTCAACATGGTGAAACCCCATCTCTATTAAAAATACAATAATTAGCCAGGCATAGTGGCACACCTGTAATCCCAGCTACTTGGGAGGTTGAGGCAGGAGAATGGCTTGAACCCAGGAGGTGGAGGTTGCAGTGAGCCAAGATTGCAGCACTGCACTCCAGCCTGGGTGACAGAGCAAGACTCCATCTCAAAAAAAAAAAAAGAAAAGAAAAGAAAAGAAAAAAGAAAAGAAAAGAAAAGAAAAAGAAAAAAAAGAAGAAGAAAGAAAAGAAAAGAAAATAGCTGTGATTCAACAATAGTCATTGTCTCTCCTTGTCACTGCCAGAATGAGGAAGTGCTGGGTTCTGTCAACATAGGCTCTGACTTCTCATGAGGTGCAAGAAAGAAGCAGCATGAACAAAGGCATAGATTTTGCACCCGGAGACATGGATTCTAGTCCCAGCTCTGACCCAAACTAGCTGCATGATCTTGGGCAGCCCCCCAGCCCTCTCTGGGTTTCAGTTCCCTCTTCTGTACAATGGGAAGGGTAGGGAAGAGGATGGTGCCTAGGATCTTCAAAGTCCCTTCCAACTCTGAAGCTGCCATTCTCTCACTGGCATGTGGGAACTGAGTGTGCTACGTGGGGTCATGAGACTTCTTTTTTTTTTTTTTTTTTTTGAGACGGAGTCTCACTCTGTCGCCCAGGCTGGAGTGCAGTGGTGTGATCTTGGTTCACTGTTTTTTGTTTTTGTTTTTTGTTTGTTTTGTTTTTTTTTTCCGAGATGGAGTCTCGCTCTGTCGCCCAGGCTGGAGTGCAGTGGCCGGATCTCAGCTCACTGCAAGCTCCGCCTCCCGGGTTCACGCCATTCTCCTGGCTCAGCCTCCCGAGTAGCTGGGACTACAGGCGCCCACCACTTCGCCCGGCTAATTTTTTGTATTTTTTAGTGGAGACGGGGTTTCACCATGTTAGCCAGGATGGTCTCGATCTCCTGACCTCGTGATCCGCCCGTCTCGGCCTCCCAAAGTGCTGGGATTACAGGCTTGAGCCACCGCGCCCGGCCCAGATCTTGGCTCACTGTAACCTCCACCTCCGGAGTTCAAGCTATTCTCCTGCCTCAGCCTCCTGAGTAGCTGGGATTACAGGCGCACCCCACGCCCGGCTAATTTTGTATTTTCAGTAGAGATGGGGTTTCACCATGTTGGCCAGGCTGGTCTCAAACTCCCGACCTCAGGTGATCCGCCCACCTCGGCCTCCCAAAGTGCTGGGATTACAGGCGTGAGCCACCTTGTCCGGTCAGAGACTTCTGACTTCTGTATTTCCCTCGCCAATAGCCTCACCTCCCGTTTGAGTATGTGCAGCATGTACAAATTGCAGAGGAACTGGGAAACTTCCCTGCCAGGCAATCCTTTGGCCTGGGTCCTCTTGCTCTCCACTTTCTCTCTCTTTCTCTCTTTCTCTTTCTCTCTTTCTTTCTTTCTTTTTTTTTCAGACAGGGTCTGGCTCTGTCGCCCACGGTCTGGAGTGCAGTGGCGTGATGTCGGTAGAAACTAAACTATTTGAAATGCCTCAGAATTCCCAAAGAAAGCTCAGTA